TCTCTGCAGAGATCCCTCTCTCTACCCAGCCCTCCTGCCAGCCCAGCTGAGCAGAAACCTCCCCCACGGATCATTTCTGACAGGCAGACGTTTTGCCTGCAGGATCTCCTAAAAGCCTCCTTAAAGACTGTGTGCCGTGATTTTCAGGCTTCTGTAGAGGAATAAGCTCTGTTTATTTCTGCACCCCCAGAAGTGGGACCAGTTTCAGTATCTTTCACTCTTCTTTTCACCAGGCCACCACAAAGACAAGAAACGCCCAACAAGCCGGTCTGCTCAGCGCGACCCCCACCCGCACAGGAGATCGGACACGCACAGGTCCCCTTGGACCCCATCCTGGTCCCAGCTTGGTGCTGAATGCCACATCGAATGCACAATGCTCAAAAGACTATTTTGCTGAAGACTGAAGCTCTCACCTGATAGGAGGTCATCAGATAGAGGTAGGTGGAATCAGACGGGTCGAACTGCATGATGGGGTGGACAGGCTCTCCGTAAGCCACCGAGATGGATCTCCTGCTGATAACCTTCATGGAACTGTCCAGATTAATCTGTAGCGAGAAGCCACTCACTGAGATCGTTTTTCAAACGCCATGGGGAGAAGATTATTTTTGCCCAGTTATGAACAAGAATCAAAGTGGTATCTAATGGTGTTCCACATTGCCAAGTGCTGTAAACGTCCACACGCTTTGCAGGAGCTTCTCTGGAAAGCCAGCTCGGTGCCACAGGGAAGGCACCAAGGGCTCCAGAGAGCCCAGGTCATGGCGAGGAGCCCTGCCCGGTGATGAATGACTCTCCCAGCCCTTGGTCCCTCTGTCTGAGTGGATGTCTGGAGAGCTCCTTTTTCCTGGAAAGCTCCTCACCCAAGCTGTGGCCCACCGGCATGACGGCTTCCAGCGGGACACAGCAGCATTACTCTTGCTTTACCGCGTGGTGAGAGGCACCAGCCTTTGGCCCTCATCACACACGCCTTTCTGTTACAAAGAACATGGTGTTTCCAAAGCTCAATGAAAAGCAGTGAAACTCATCGACAGGGCTATACCACATGGCATCTCCTGCTCCACGCACATCTGAAAAATAAGGGGTGTCATTCCTGGCCAGAAGAAGCTTTTCTCCCTGCTGACTCCAGA